TTTTTTGTAGAGATGAGATTTTGCTATATTGCCTAGACTGGTTTAAAACTCCTGGGCTCAAGCAATTCTCCTGCCTCTGCCTCTGAAAGTACTGGGATTACAGTTGTGAGCCACTGTGCCTAGCTAAATATACATTTTAAAAAATTAAAAATGAGTTTATTTTTAACAGTTCTGTTAAGATATGGTTTATATATCATAAAATGTATCCATTTAAAGTGTACAGTTCAGTGGTTTTTAGCATATTTACAGAGCAGTTCAACCATCACTATGATCTAACTTTAGAACAGAAAATGAGTTTATTTTATTTTTTGTTTTATTTTATTTTCAAGACGGTGTGTGGCTCTGTTGCCCAGGCTGGAGTTCAGTGGCATTACCAAGGCTCACTGCAGCTTCGACCTCCTGGGCTCAGGCAGTCCTTCTCCCTCAAGCCTCCTAAGAAGCTGGAATTACAGGTGCTCATCACCACACCTGGCCATTTTTTTTTTTTTTTTCTGTAGAGACAAGGTTTCACTATGTTGCCTAGGCTGGCCTCAAACTCCTGGGCTCAAGCAGTCCTCCTGCCTCTGCCTTTCAAAGTGCTGGGATTACAGGTATGAGCCACTGTGAGTGGCCTTATTTTATACATAGTATTTTGAAAATTGCTTTTTTTTTTTTGCTTAGAAATACATTATGGGTGTCTGTTTATGTCTCTACAGTTAAGACAGAAGTATGTACCTAAATGTCCATGAATTCTTGAATGGATAAACAAAGTGTGGTATATCCATATAATGAAATCTTTTTCAGCCTGATAGATACTAAAATATGAATGCTCAAAAACATTGTGCTAAGTGAAAAAAGCAGACACATAAAAGTCACATATTGTATGATTCCCTTTATATGAAATATCCAGAATAGGTAAATCCTTAGAGACATAAAGTTGATTAGCAAGCTGCCAAGAGCTGAGGGAAAAGAAGAATGGGGATTACTGCGTAATGGATTTCCTTTCAGGTAATAAAATGTTTTGGATCTAGAAATAGGTGTTGGTTGCACAATATGTGAATGTACCAAATGTCATTGAATTGCATGTGTACTTTAAAATGATTTTTTTTATGGCATGTGAATTTTACCTGAATTAAAATCTAGAGTAGCTCTCCCTTGTTTGATGAATAAAGTACAAATGCCTTACTTAATCTGGCATTCACCACTTTTTGTTACAGGTCCTGCCTCTTTCCAGCCACTTCTCCTTCCACATCCCCCCCCAAAAAGATAGAACTACGTCATTCTTTTTACATATGTCCTTGAGTTCTTACATCATATGTCATTCTTTTTAACTTAATCATATACTTTATAAATGTACTATGAATTTCTTGAGCAGTCCTCCATTGATGAGCAGCTAGATTGATATCATCTGTTGCTGTTCTAAATAAATCTGTTGCTGTTGCAAGGAACATATGACATCTTCACACACTTGTGTGTATGTTCCTTTAGTTGTATTGCATTGTTCTAATTTTTTATTTTTTATTTTTTTGAGTCAGAATCTCACTTTGTTGCCCAGGCTGGAGTACAGTGGCACACGGTTTACGGCCACTGCAGCCTCGACCTGCTGGGTGCAGGTGATCCTTCTGCTTCAGCTTTCCAAGAAGCTAGAACTACAGGTGCGTGCCACTATACCCAGCTAATTTTTTTATTTATTGTAGAGATGACGTCTTGTCAAGTTGCCCAGGCTGGTCTTGAACCTCTGGGCTCAGGTAGTCCTCACACCCCTGCCTCCCAAAGTGCTGGGATTACACATGTGAGCCACCGCGTCCAACTGCATTGCTCCTTTTAATCCTTGTTCAGTCCATAAGATAGATGTTACTCCAACCATTTTATGCTTCAGGATCAGTTTCAGAGAATTAAATGCCCAAGTCCACATTGCTAATTAAAAGAACAGGTACTTGAATCCCATTTTTTGTTGTTTTTCCAATTTTAAGTGGTATGCTTTTCTAACACTTATAGGATTTTGATAGATTAGAGTGTATTCAGAAGAGCCTGAGTAGAACTAGGAGACAGTTGAAGGAACGAGGGGTATTTAGGAGGCATGTATTTACTTTATTTGTTCAAGATACATATTTATTAAGCCCTTATGTATGCCAAGTCCTGCTATAGGTGGTGGACAGATAGTGATTACAAGACAAACAAGGTCATCTGCTTTCATGGTGCTTTTATTTCAGTAAGGGAGAAATGGATACTTAACAAGTAAATAGGTTAGATACTTTTAGATAGTAGTAAGTACTATCAAGAATATAAAATAGAAGCTGGGTGTGATGCAGTGCCTGTAATCACAGCTACTCAGAGTCTGAGATGGGAGTATCACTTGGATTCCATGAGTTTGAGGCTGCAAAGAGTCATGATACACCACTGTATTCTAACCTAGACAATAGAGCCAGACCCCAGCTCTTAAAAAAAAAAGAAAAGAAAGAAAAAAAAAACAGGAAAAAGTTCTTTGAGGAGATAACATAGGGCTGAGACCTAAGTGATAAGAAGGCAATATTTAAATATGTTGATATTTTCATGTAGCATGAGTGGTGATTACATTTAACGAGAATAGAAACAGGCTCCTAGTACATGATAATTAGCATTGTTTCAAATCCTGGCAGTACCAGTCAAACACTATTTTATCCAAACTCTCTGAATTTCGGTTTTTGTATCTACAAAGTAGAGATAGCATACCTACCTCACAGAGCTATTAGGAGGGCTAGATAACTAGGTAGGCAAAATCCTCTAGTACGGCCCATCATAGACCCTTAGTAGTCTGTGAGTGAGATTTCACAATGCTCCATGTGAAGAAAAGTTTTCTAACAATTATTGCAGATCACAAATGGAATGACTTTCTTAAGTTAGTGATTTTCCCATTAGTGAGGGTCATTTAAGTAGCCTTTAGATAACTATTCTTCCAGTGTATCATAGAAGACGTTTGCTGGGCGTGGTGGCTCAAGCCTGTAATCCCAGCACTTTGGAAGGCTGAGGCAAGAGAATTGCCTGAGCCCAGGAGTTCGAGACCAGCCTGGGCTACTTGGTGAGACCTCATCTCTACCAGAAATCAAAAAATTTGCTGGGTGTGGTAGCACAGGCTTGTAGTTCCAGCTACCTGGAAAACTGAGGCAGAAGTATCACCTAAGCCCAGCAGGTCGAGGCTGCGATGGCTGTGAGTGTGCCACTGCATTCCAGCCTAGGCAACAGAGTGAGACTCCAACTCAAAAAAAAAGACGTTCATGCATTAAGTGAGAAATAAGACAAGGTGACCTGAAAGATTCTTACCCATGTCCCATCATTGATAAGCTTAATATCTCCAGAATCCCAGTCTACAGCTTGAGAAATAAACCCGAGCATCTGTTTTTGAAGCATAAAGGGGTCTTCTGGAATAGTGGTTTAAAAACGTTTTTAAAAGCAACAATACCCTTTCTTCCAAAGAAATTTTATACTGAAGTCTAATTTGTAAAATCTAAAATTTGGGCTGCTAGGTAAAGTTGATAATGAGAGATTCACATAGTAATCCCTTGCATTTGTATATGTTTTGTATGCTTACTAAAGCACTTTAAAAAACCATTTCTTTTTAACTTTTAATGTTTTTATTTAAAGATGTAGGGTATAATTCAGGGTTAGGTATACAAATGTTCATTATGCAGGTACCCTTGTTGATGAGGTGTGCCCCCCTCCCTTCCTCAGGCAGATTCCCACTACTGCCTAAAGCACTCTTAAAATTTTTTTTTCTTTTTTTGGCCAGAAGCAGCGGCTCACACCTGTAATCCCAGCATCTTGGGAGGACAAGAGGAGGACAAGGTGAGAGGATTGCTTGAGCCCAGGAGTTCAAGCCTGGGCAACAAAATGAGACCTCGTCTCCACAAAACATCAAAAAATTAGCTGGGTGTGGGGGTGCGCTTGTTGTCCCAGCTACTTTAGAAGCTGAGGCAGAAGAATTTGCCTGAGCCGAGGAGGTTGATGGTGCAGTGAGCCATGATCATGTCCTCAGTACCTCAACCTGGGCAACAGAGTGAGACTACAAGTAAAAATATGTATGTATATATTTTTAAATCATCATACTACTTGAGGTCAGTCCTTTTTTTTTTTTTGAATCTCACACTGTTTCCCTGGCTGGAGTGCAAGGGCATGCTCATGGCCACCACAGCCTCCACCTGCTGGGCTCAGGTGATTCTTCTGTTTCAACCTTCCAAGTAGCTGGAACTACAGGTGTGTACTACCACGCCTGGCTAATTTTTTTGATTTTATTGTAGAGATGAGGTCTTGCCAAGTTGCCCAGGCGGGTCTTGAACCCGCGGGCTCAGGCAATCCACTCACCTCAGCCTCCCAAAGGCGCGGGATTACAGGCTGAGCCACCGATCCCGGCTAATTTTTTTGGTTTATTGTGGAGATGAGGTCTCGCCATGTTGCCCACACTGGTCTCGAACCCATGGGCTCAGGCCATCCTCTTGCATCACCTCCCAAAGTGCTGGGATTACAGGTGTGAGCCACCACGCCCAGTTTGTCCATTCTTATTGGCTAGAAAACAGGCATAGAGGCAGTGCACAGTGGCTCACACATATAATCCCAGCACTTTGGGAGGCAGAGGTGAAAGGATTGCCCAAGCCGAGGAGTTCCACACCAGCCTGGGCAACTTGGTGAGACCTATCTCTACAATAAATCAAAAAATTAGCTGGGCATGGTGGCACACACTTCTAGTTCCAGCTACTTGGAAGGCTGAAGCAGAATGATTGCCTGAGCCCTGCAGTTTGAGGCTGTGGTGGCCATGAGCATGCCACTGCACTCCAGCCTGGGCAACAGTAAGACTCCAACTCAGAAAGAAAGAAAGAAAGAAAGCAAGCATAGATAGTTTAAGCAAGTTGTCTTGATCCTAATCCTCAATGGCGTCAGAACTATAACCTGACTCCCTTAACCCCTATATCATTGGGGTTTTCTTCTAATACTTGGTACTACTTTATTAGTCATTTCATAACTTTTATTTATTTTTTTCCTTTATAGGGTTATTTAGATTGTAAAGAATTTTAACATTTCTGAGGATTTCCTCGAAGGATCATTTTTACTTTGCTCAAAAGAAAGCTCTGAACCTATCAAGATTTTTAAAGAAGTCCTTAGAGTGGGTTACATATATAGATGTTTTCATGAAGAGGAGTGAAAAGCCAGAAGGGTATAGACAAATGAGGCCTAAGACCTTTCCTGCCAGTAACTACACTGGCAGCAGCCGCCAGATGTTGCAAGAAATTCGGGAATCCCTTAGGAATTTATCAAAACCATCTGATGCTGCTAAGGCTGAGCATAACACGAGCAAAATGCCAACTGAAGATCCTCGACAAGTCAGAAATCCACCCAAATTTGGGACCCATCATAAAGCATTGCAGGAAATTCGAAATTCTCTACTACCATTTGCAAATGAAACAAGTTCTTCCTCCCGAAGTACTTCAGAAGTTAATCCACAAATGCTTCAAGACTTGCAAGCTGCTGGATTTGATGAGGTAAGAACTTTTAAAGACAAAGGAAAGGATTCTTACCTTTGCTACATAACATCCTTCAGTTGATATCGCAGAAATGCTTCCTTTGAGAAAGATTTGACTATGTATACAAATTTGTGCATTCTGTCAGCAAAGAATTTTATGTTTGCAATTATTTAGTTTCTTCTGTGATACTTATTAAATTCTGGAGTTTCTGGAATTTAAAAGGCCAGGTCATGATGTGAAAGTGCTATTGCCAGGCTTGGTGACTCAACCTGTAATCCCACGCCTTTGGGAGGCTGAGGTGAGTGGATTGCCTGAGCCTGTGGATTCGAGACCCGCCCGGGCAGCGAGACCTCATCTCCACAATAAATCAAAAAATCAGCCGGGCATGGTAGTGCATGCCTGTAATTCCGGCTACTTGGAAGGCTGAGGCGGAAGGATCGCCGGAGCCCAGCAGGTCGAGGCTGCGGTGGCTGGGAGCGGCCACTGCACTCCAGTCTGGGCGACAGAGTGAGACTCCAACTCA